ACTATCATCAGCATTTCATACATAAATCCCTTATTGATCAATTTCTCAAACAGCCAGTCCCATGTGCAGTTCTCTGAATTATTCCCAGGGAAGGACATGGATATTAGAGGAGGATTTCCTTGACCTAGTGATGGATTTTGAGATTTAGAGAGAGATGAAAGTGACAGTGGCAGTCACTATTATCCCTCACCTGAGCAGAAGCTTACTAGCCCTTTCAACACGCACAAGAGCTCTGTCTTGAAACTAAATAAAAATGAAAATAATGGAAAAATAATGGAAAGCCCTACTCAGCACAAAATCCATGGGAGAAAAGCTTTTATGCAGTAAAAGGAGTGACGTTCAAATTTGAAGTGGGATCTTTATCTCAAGTTGCAACTGAGACACAGAGAGTTCATTTTCTTTAAGAAATAGAATACATATTTGAAACATAAAGTTTTAAAGTTAAAAAAAAAAATGTTTTAAAGTAAACACTACAAAACAACAAGGAAATACATAACATTATACCCACTAGAACCCAGATATGGATATCTACAATAAAGTCTCCAACTTAGCAAATGGAATAAGGTGCAAATAATCTTATAAATCCTAGCCACTGTTTCACAGATATCTTTGAAGGGCTGAAATCCAATTCCTATCCTAAATCATAGACACTAAAGGAATCTCTGGAGGTCTGGTATTGAATCAGGATCGGTTCTGCCTGTCATTCTCACAGGCTTCTGCTTAGTGTGCAGTCTGAAAGTTCTCAGCATTTGATGCTGAGCAGCTGTTTTGTGAATATGTGGTGGCACTGTGTGCCTGGGACGTATGCCTCAACTGTGCATCTCACAAGCATCAAATTAATTCTGCCCTCATTGTAGAAAAGATCAACACAATGCTCAACACAACGGTCTCAATTCTGCCCTCCTTTAAAAGTCATTTAGACATTTGTTATTGACTTCAGTGATAGCTAGATTAGTTTAGTGTCAATAGTTCTTCACAGATATTTTTCCTATCATTCTGTGTTTCGGTGAAGTGCCCTTGACTGATGGGAGGATGACCACACTATTGGATTATCGTTTTAGTAGGCCAACTTTAATCTATTTTTGTATCTTGCTTTGTCAGTGTATCTGTAATTCTTCTCAATCCTATTAAAGCTATCTCCAGTTTCAAACACCCATAACCAAAACACTAAATACATCATACACATGTATTTACTTATTTTAAGTAGGTTTCAATGGAACACTATTGCCTTTCAGCTTATTGTGTTGTAGCCACATGAACAGATGTGTGGTTGGATTGTGACCACAGTTTTGTCAGGCTTAATTTCTGCAAATACCTTTCTGTCTTTTCTAGTGCTGATGCTATTTCAGCACGTAATGTATTCAATGTCGGGAGTGCTGTAGTTGAGAAAGCTCCGAGGCTTCTGGCTTATTTAATACCGCTTTGCATAGACCTGTGATATGGGGAATTCAGTGTCGTGAAGCACAGCCAGCCCCAACGAGGCTTAGTGACTGAAAAACCACCAGTGCAATCAGTTTCTCCACCAGTAGGTGGTACTGTATTTTTACTTTAGCGTTAAATGTGTGGTGGATGGAGAACGAAGAACTAGAAGTACTTTAAGATGTGCCGGTGTGTTGGATTCATACGTAGAGGTGAGGTTGGAATCTGAAAGCACTGGACAGACTTCCAGCTTTCTGTGAACATGAGGGCTAAGAGGTATGCAGTGTAGCACCACACAGCATGCTAAAAGCCTATGTCAAAGCCTTTTACCAGTATCCTCCAGATCCAGATCCTAGTTTTTGCATGACTACTCTGAGGATGGATTAGAGCTTCTGAAATATCCGAGGGCACAGCAAGCGCTGTGGCTGACCATGCCCAGCAGAGCTATTGGTGTGCCCTGGCAGAATCTGTGATGAGGGTCTCCTTGTGCCATCCCGGCTGGCACAGCATAAAATGTCTCTTCTCTGAACCTGGAACCTGCAAGGAAGAGAGGGGCTCTCCCTCTGGAAAAACAATCAAGCAAACAACCTCATTCAACAATATTATCAGAGAATAGGTGATGGTGACCCTACAGGAGTGCCAGGAGCTCTGAATAGTCAGTCAAGATTTCTGTTTAGCAGAAATTTATTTCAAGCTAAAATAACACAGGAAAACTGGGCTGATTACATGGAATAATGATGCGATGATATGGACAATGGTGATCCCACTGAGATTAATTCTCTTTATTTCAAATAAAATCATCAATATATGACATTGTCACTGATAAAAGTGGTAGAAAATGCACTGTAGTTAAAATAGGCTTCATATATATAGCCTTGGCTGTCCTTCATTCATAGTAGTATAATAGATCAGAAGACACTATCTGTGTATTTTTCAGGCAACTTGTATAGGGGTGATCAATACACAACAACTACAGCATTTTAATCGTATCAAACTGCCATCTAGAGGTAGTGTTTCTTATACTAGTTGAAGTTAGTTCCTTTATCTGTTGTTCCTATGGGTCTGTATTTAATCGTCAGCATTCGGGGCTGACATGGTCATTCCTCCATGGCTACATGCCAGGACAGGTAACAAGGCTCTCTGCAGCTGCCATACATAGTGGAGCTCATCTTTGGACCCTGAGGGGCAGCAGCAACTGCACACAGAGGAGAGAAATGCAGAACAAGGAAGCTGAGCAATAATGACAGGACTTCAAAATGCCATAGACAGCTTTCCTAATAAACATATACACAAATAAAAGGAAAAAAAAAAAAAAAAAAAAAAGAACTAAAAAAAAAGCATAGAACTTGCTTCACAACTGCACCTCTACTAGCTATACAAACTTTATTTAGTTAAAGCATTCCGGGTGAGCACAGCAATAAGGTTTTATTATTAAGGCACAAAAAATTAGGTTTCCATATTTCCAATTTTATTTATAAATGTGAAATTGTAAGGTTGGCTTTAGGTGGTTCCATTTTTGTTGAAAAACAACAATTAAGATAAGTATTTGCTTAACAGCCAGTTTCATTGTGTTGTTTATTTATTGCATAAGCTACAGAATTTTAGCACAACTTCTTTTTTGCATTTTCCATAAATTTCATGGAAAACATATTAAAAACAAACATATAAAAACAAATGAACAAACAAAAACAGCAAGGTATAGCAGGTTTTCATAACATTATCCTTACAACACTTTTGGAAAAATGCAACCTGTCACTGAATTGCTTTGACTGTTAGTACATACACATCTATTATTTCATACACCAAAAGGACTGGTCTTTGCTTAGCAATAGCTGGCAGAGCTCCACTGACAAAAGAGGAGCTGCACTGATTTATTTGCATTAGCTGAAGAGGCAGGCATTGCTCTAAATCAGTCACATGAGCCATTTTGAAGGATAAACTACCATCTTTTTCCTCTTCATGTCACATGTTAAGATAGTCTATCAAGACTTTATTTTCTTACCCAGTTGACCTTTATATGTCATCCAAAATAAAGAAAAAAAAATCACTGTTGATAAATTAATTTTCTGTACTTTCTTCCTCGCATTGTCTCAAAGTTCTTTGAAAGTATGTGAGTATGCAAAGTACTATAAATCATCAAGGAAAAATACACACATGAACCCACTCGCTTCTGTAATAACATCATAGATTGCAAGTACATTGTCTTTGACTGTTAGCTAATTTATTTTTTACTTTATTTTTCTCAAAAAAAGAGGGTTTCACAGTGTTTTCACTATTTATTGCAGATTTAAAAATATGAAGCATGAGCTATATAAAGAAGTAAGTATATATATATATATATATATATTTCAAGTAACAAGTTAAGTATATCTCAAATATTTCACTCCTTAATTAAAAATACTTTGATGTCCATCATCTGCTGAAATAGTTGGCCAACAGAGAAGCAAATCTGCAGAAGTGTTAACTGGATGGTTTCTCAGCATTCATGTTCTGGATACCATGAGGAACACTCCAACCAGCAGGTGAGCAAGAGCTGCACCAGAGGAAGGGGTGGGCTGTGGCAGCTCACCCATCTGCTGCCACACCAGGCCTGTGCAGATGCCGCCACCACCACCCCTCTTCTCTCCAGATCTGTCAACAGAGTTGTTTGCAAGATCGACACTTAGCATGTTTCAGTCGAATTGCAGGAAGCTGGGGGAAATGGCATATTTTGACAGAAACAGGGGTGTGAACCCACAGAGTTGACACATCTGAGGGGACACAAAGCAAAAATAGGAGCTGGGAGCAGACTAATGACCATTCATGTACACGATTTTATCCTCCAGGCGTGCTTATGGTGTATGAGAAGATACAAGCCTGCTCTCAGTTTTTCAGATTATGCTTTAAGATTTCAATATAACTGTTTCAACTAATGTTTAAAATTACTGTTCCTTTGCAGCAGTAATCTGTGTTTTAGAAACCTTAAAGATGAGAAGTCAAACCCTCTTGATAAGGCAGCCCAGATGCGGTTCAGGCCACCTACCACAGAGGTTCCTACAATAGTAGTGACATCGTACAGTGGATAGGTAAAGAAATGCAATGCTCCTTTTCTTCTAACATATGCAGTGCTGTTTATATTTAAAAATAAATGCAGAAATCAAATATCAGACTAAGATTTTGAACCTGATCTCTCAGCCTAACCCCAGGACCGCACGGCCAAGGCAGGGAAGCCTGAGTTGCTTTATGACACTGCAGCTGTTTCACCAGCCAGCTCCGGATCTCATAAACTTCACAGGATCAACAACCGCTGTCATAGGCGTTGTGCTCCGAAGCCGGGCTGAGGGCAGTATGTCCACGCACTGCTCTGGATACCTGTGCCTAATTCACAGCTGTCTGGCTCCACTTTGGGGATCTCTCTGCCTATTGAAGGTCCTCAGACCACCCCAGGTAAGTTCACTGGGCAACCCTAGAATAACTTCAGCCAGAAATCGCCTAAAAGCGTTTCACTGAACAACAACAACAATAAGGGCTTCGACTTCTACCTCGAAACTATTGATTGGGTAATAAAGATAATTGCTCCTCGAGACACCCCGAAGCCTGTTGGACCGGAGGGAGTCACCTCAAGGGAGGCGTCCCCGGGCTCTGCCCCACTTCTGTGCTCCGGGGGCGAGGGGACCCGAGGTGGGCTGAGGAGGGCTGAGGGGACCCGAGGGGGCCCGGCCAGCCCCGGGCTGCTCCGTGGGGCCGTGCTTTGGGGTGAAGAGGGAGGAAGGGCGAACACAAGACAACACAACACGGAGCACGCCCAGCTGCTGGGCCGGGCTGGGCCGGGCCGGGCCGGGCGGAGCCGCCAGAGGGGCAGCGGGTGGGAGCGCTGCCATGAAGCCCGGCCGTGACGTCACGCAGGTGCTGGGTGAGGGGTGTGACATTTTGGGGAGGGGGGGGCTCGTCCCTCGGCTGTGGGCAGCGAGAGCCGCCTGAAATAGCCATGTGTGGGGTGGGAGGCACTGCCTTGGGGTTTCCCTGGTGTGTTCCTGTGAGTGGGGTGTCCTCGGGGCTGGTTGGGGAGGTGAGGTTTGAGTGGGGGGCGGCACACGGGTGGCCGGGGTGGCGCCTGGTGGTGCTCTCGGGTTCGGCTGACCGGAGAGAAAAATCCCTTGGGAGGGCGACCTGCGGCTGGCTCCAGCCCCCAGCGGGGTGCTGATAGCTCCGGAGGGGCTCTGGGGACGGGTCCGTGGGGAGGGGAAACTGGCTTAGCTAATGCCCTCCCTCCGTCGTCATCTGGCTGCTTACAATGGGTTGTAAAGTAGTAGTAATGCCCCCGCAGTCCCCTCCTCCGGTGAGCCATGAGGTGCCATGCGTCTTTGCATGCAAGTGGAGCAAACAGCACGTTTTTCAAAAGGAAAAAAATCCCAGTGAGATAAACAGAGCTCACTGCTGCTCACTTGGACTCTTCTCAGGATCAAGAGGATGGGACGTAGTAAAGACATAGTGCTTCTTTGTAAGTGTGAGCAAAGGTTGTGTTACAGGACATAGAGGAACATCCCGTGACAGTCACTTACTGACTTATCATGGATGGCATGGTTACATTTTCACTATTGGGTGTCATAGTCTGCCAGAGAATGGGAAACTTACATTGCAAAATTGGTAACATTGTATGGAAGGGAATAACCCTGCTGTTCTGCTACAGCTGAACCCCAGTTCTCCATTCACAAAAAGAGTGAGAGGGGTGGTTATTTTCTTCACTGTAAAAACCCCGGCACAAACCCACCTTTACAATCTCAGGTAGCTGAAAGACCATACTTAGATGAGTTTTTGTCTTGGTGCTTTCTTTTAATTAAAGGCAGGAGCTGTTGCTGCTTCACACACAAAGCCTGTAGTAGTCCAGCAGTGTTACAACCTTTGCCAGGCCTGTTTAGCATCATTGTAAGAAGTTAAGCAATGCACTAAATGCTTTGTTCCTTCTCTCTATATTTTTTTTATGCCAGTTGGTTTACTTTATAGCTTTTCCTTTGATCAAGCTACCTCTAAGAAACACAACTAAAGCTGCGTTACTTTGCTAAAATGCTGTCATATTTGTGAGAGCTCTCCTTTCTTGGAGGATTTCTTGGAGAATCCATAGCGAGTGGACAGCTAGCCATATATCCAGGTTTTCTTGGATATACAGTTTTTTGCCAGGTGGCAGCTGAGAATTTCAAAACCTTCATGGGATTTCTGGACACCCAGCAGAGGAGGTAGCTCTGAGCACATTGCAGGATGTTTAGGAAATCTTTGGTGACCTGGTCGTGTGCAGTGGACATGTGACATATCCAGGTCACATTGGGTTTGCCCCATATGCAATGCAGACAACACATCTGTGAACATCTGCCTGGAAAATCCTGTCTGGCAAAATGTAGCAACCCTATTCCATCGTTAGGTGTTTGTTTTCTGATATTGAAAAAAATCAAACGGGAGGTGAAACTTTTATTTCTATTGCCTAAATGGACCAACTCACCCAGTCTGCTAAAAGTTATGTGGTTTAAAATCATATGCTGCTACTGTCCTTTGTTCTGTGCCTTGTATCATATTCTCTTCATTCTTCTGTTATGCATGTTCAGCTACAGGTGACTGCCTCTTTTAAAGGATGTTCAGTTCACTCTGTGACAAAACAAATCAAATAGTTTTGTTCTTGAGGCTTCAAAATCCCACAGAAAATGGGGGAAAAAAAATCCATAAAAGGAGCACTCAGAGCAGCAGTCATGGATGTACCCATCTTGTGGGACTGTCTTTATAAAGTTTGGCTTATCGATATAAAACAACTCCTGTTAGACAAACTCTCTTGGCAAACAAGGAAATAGGTTTGCAGAGCCTGAAAATCGAACGGTAGCTTACTGCAGTGTGTTTGTGGCACGCTGTGGTGCTGGACAACTGAGAGCAGACATTCTTCCTTCTTTCCTTGTTTCTGGTGGTATCTCCCAGGGTTGTCAGCATTGTCAGCTGCAAATGAAGAGATGCTGGCAAACTCCATGCCACCTTTAATACTTCTGATACCTTAAATATTCCTTCCTATACAGTATTAGATGAATTACCCAAGGTTGCTTATTGCTGGTTGTGCAATGAAGTACTTCTGACACAACATTAACACTTCCATAGCTCAGGTCAGAACAGGCACAGAGGAGTATCCTTTTCTACCAACTCTCTGAATGTTTTTTCAATTGGAGAAAAAAAGAGTGTATTACTGATGGTGCCACTCAGCAGCATGAATCCTTCGTGTGTCATTTAATTACAAGGGAGGCACAGAAAGCAAAATTATTTGTTGCCTCCAATGCTTTATATGAATCACAATGGAGTAAGCTTTTGTACTTCTGTATCAGCAGTTTTAGAGTTTAACATATCTTAGCAATAAGACCTAAAAGGAAAGCTATTTCAGCTGTATTGTATGATGCTTGCTGTTTGTGTGCTTCAATAGTGAAAATGTGAAACTTCTGCCTAAACTACTGTATGCTCTCTTGCAGCATTGCTGTCCCTCCAGTGCTTCCCCATGCAAAATAGCTCCTCTTTCTGTTCTTAGAAATGCAGTACCTCTTCTTCCTTTAAAACCAATAAACGTGCCTAGGCTAATTACAACAGCATCATTCCCACAGGCTCACATCGCAGTGATGCTGGTCAAGCTTGGCTGACGGAGCTTGCAAAGCTTCAGGCTCAGCTCAGGAGCTGTCTGCTTGGTGGCTGTGCCTTGCAGGCTGTGGTCCTCCTCCAGCTGCAGGTCAGTGAGGTTAGGTGAAAAGCTCTCTGAGCTGCAGCGAGACCTCCACCTAAACATTTCACAAGTGGTTAAAGAAGATCTGCTTCACACAGTAGTCGACAAACATTTTTAGTAAAGCATACTAGTGGCCGTATGCCACAAGGGTTTACTTGCTACATAGATTTTTTTTTTTTCCTTCTCTTATTTATTTGTCATTCACAAATCTCAATTACAAACTTAAAAGCAAAAGCCTGAAATAACAGGAGGTTCATTCTAGTAGACAAAGTCTGAAATAATGGATTTAGCTATAGGTTTGTGTTATGGGGATGTGGTCTCTGTGCAACACAGAACACTGTATTTGTGAAGTTTCAGGTTAGCTTTTAAATACTTCAAGTTGATTTTTCCCTTTCAGATAATACTTGATTGCTGCATTCTTTGGTATTGCTGTAATTGCTTAACAGAGGCAATGTACTGCAAAAATACATATAAGGTACACACTGCGACTTGTAGGGTTGGGTGGTGACAGGGGCACCTGTCAGAACTGGGGACAGAATTGTGACCATTGTTCAGATTTTGTGTTGGCACTTCAGGAGTTATCTGCAGGGTCAGAAAAGAGGAGTACTCAGGGCAAATGCAGAAAGGAGCACAGTGGGGGCTCATTCAGAGCTGTGCCTGGCTGGTAAACCACTTGTTCTGCTTTCTTTCCCCCTCCCAGGTGCTGTGGTCTCTGCCCTTGCCGTGACTGCCCAGCATGGGGCCGGACCACGAAAAGGCTGAATCCTGCCCTTCTCCCCTCGCTTGTATGGACGGGACTTCCAACAACACAAACCTGAGCCTTTCCACGCCTGCTGGACTCAAGTACCGACTCTACCTCGGCCTGGCTTTGGCAGTAGGTTCCAGCATCTTCATTGGCTCCAGTTTCATCCTGAAGAAGAAGGGCCTCTTGAGACTGGCTGCCAAAGGAGTCCCCAGAGCTGGTAAGCAGCACTGCTGTTGGACTTGGTTTAATAGCTTAATTACATCTAATTCTTGCACTCACAATTTTAGGAACCCTATGCTTGCAAGAGAGGGGGGTTAGTTGATATGCTGCATGTGAATTGCATCAACCCACGTAGTAGTCTAGGAAAGCAGGAATAAGCCAAGTTTCACTTAATTCCTAATCTGTTCATAGGGTACAAACCAGTTAATTCAACTTTATGACTTAGGATGAGTTTTTGTCCTTTCCAAAAGGGAAAAGCACAAAAGCCTCTCTTACAGCTCCTCAAAGTAGAGGTTCAATTAACAGCCTGCACAATTAAAGCTGCTGGCGTTTAACAGTGCAGAACTTCAGCAGTGGTCACATGTCCCCTCTTGGCTGCTGACAGAAATCCAGCATTATTCCTCTGCCTGTGTCTACAGGGACTGAGTAGTCAGAAATCTTTGGGCTTTGGGGGTGACAGTGGCTATTAAGACAGTAATCTGGTAATAATTTCCTCTCTGCCAGCAGTTAGATACCAAAGTTCTCCCTTTGTCTTGCCCTTCATAAAGCCTTCCTCTATTTTTTTCCTTCATATTTCTTCCATCTTTGAGCTGGAAAGGCTTGAGATGGTCACTAGATTTAGTTTCTTTTTAAAAACAAAAAGTGCAATGAGCTTTAGAAAAAGTTCTCACTACAAAAGGTTCTGCAGGTAGCTAATCTTTCATTGATGGCAGCAGATGTGGAGCTAAAAAAAATGTGGGGAGCTTTTAAAAACCCTTAGACTAATCTGATAGTTGCATTTGTACACAGCTTAAACACACAGCATTCACAGGTTTTTTTTGTTGCATTTATTGCAAAATCTACTATTCCAGAGAATTTGAGTATTTGAAAAAACTGTTACTGAATGTACAATTTACTTGTATTTTGTGCAAGAAAAATATCATGAATTCAGTGACATTTTCCTTTCTGATTTCTCCAAATTTAAATTATAAGCAGAGTCAAAAATGCAGCTGTGTATGAATATGTTGGATCTGACCTGGGATGGTACCTCAAAGTGTTTCTTAAGATCATCAGTAATCTTCATTGACATTTTAGGTTTTCCAAGAACTTTTTTTCCAAGAACTTTTTCCCCGTGTGTATTTAGTCAAGTATCATTTTTCACAAGTACAAGTCATAACGAAACAGTGATTAATAAAAAAGTCAGTCAAAATTGAGCAAAATATTCTTCACGTCACATCCAGATAGCTTGCTGTTTCAGTACTTCATATGACTTGATCCAAAAATGAAGCTGCAGGGTTTTTTTTGTTGTTGTTGTAATAAGCTGATTTCTTTCTTCTAAGATGAGATATTTTTTTTTTTTTTTTGCCTGCTTTCAGGACAGGGTGGACATTCTTATTTGAAGGAATGGCTTTGGTGGGCTGGGCTACTATCAAGTAAGTCACATCTTTTCCCCCAGCTGCAAGTAAATAAAAAGCTGACTGTAAAGACATTTCTTTTAACTGAGGAGAGTGAAAAATTAGGGAATTAATTTATTTAAAACAATCAGCTTTATGACAGAAACCGTTCTGATATCCCATCTCAAATGTTTGCTCTTTGCAGAATTAAAGCCTTTTCTTCTGTATCTGGTCAAAAGCAAGGGGTTTGAACCTGTCCAGCTTCGTGGCGTTGTCACCACTCCTTGCAGGAAGGTGTAGCCAGTTCAAAATTGGTCTGCAAATGCCTGCTTTTGGCTTTGTCATACTCTTTGGATAGTCATACTGGAGCATACAGTGCTTAGGGGGAGGACACATAATGGAAATGAGGACTGAAGAAAGTTATGTCCAGAAGAGATTATACAGATAATTTTGAAATCAAAATCTGCATCTTTTATTTAGAAAAAAATATCATTTTATATTAGCTGTCAGATCTGTCGCACAAAATATACTTACAAGTAGCATTCCTTTTATTCCTTCTCCCCCATCTGATCCAAATGTACTTTCTTCTACAGTGGGATTAGGAGAAGCTGCAAACTTTGCTGCCTATGCCTTTGCACCTGCAACCTTAGTTACCCCTTTGGGTGCACTGAGTGTTCTCATAAGGTTAGTACAAATTGGAAGCAAACTAATCATTGACCATCTGATTAAAAAAATAATGTCTTTGGCTAAAAGCAGAGAATTTTAATAAGAAAACTGAAGGGCAAATACAGACCAAAAAAAATATCTTTTTTACATGTAACAAAATCTCAAAAGAAAATATAGCATTCCTTAAAATACTCCTATAACAGAAGTTGTTTTTGAAAATATAACTTCATATTAAGATACTGAGTTTCCTTTTGGTGTTGTTTTGTCTTGCTGAAGTCCTTCTGGAAAGAAAGCCAATAAAATTTTAGCTTTGTTAATATCCACAGTTAAAATTCTTGGTTATTTTTTTTAAATATGAACACCCTTCAAACACTCATTATTTCCGATGTATGAAGAAATAAATAATTTCCAAGTACTGAAGCAAGTACATGAATATAACTATCACAGAAGCAGAAAATACATGGATTACACTTTCAACAAACCTTCTGGGAAATAACTTATTAGCAAAATTGAATTACAGTATTTTAAATCTAAAGCTCTTATTTTTAAGCTGGTGGAGCTGAACCCTCTATTTCTGCTTTGCCAAACAGTGCTATATTGTCATCCCACTTTTTAAATGAAAGGCTGAATATTCACGGCAAGCTGGGCTGTGTACTGAGCATTTTGGGGTCCACGGTCATGGTTATTCACGCCCCTGAGGAGGAGGAGGTCACTTCACTGGATGAGATGGAAATAAAGCTGCAAGATCCAGGTCTGTAGGCCTAACCTGCTGTGTTTCATGGCAAGCATTTACACAGCAAACTTCATGTATTGGTGAGTGAGTGAATTAGGATCTCTAATGGGAAGTCCTGGCTACAGAGCTGTCCTGGGCTGTTTGTACTGAGAGCCCAGTATCCCTTAACATCAGTATGAGCACAGAAGGCTTCTGCATGCACCATAACATGTTTCCCAAGGATGCAGGCTTAAGAGCAATACATCTTACACTGCTTCTTGCAAATTATTTGGCTAAGAAATGATGTACTGCTTCTTCCTGCCCTCTGAGGAGTTCAAAGGCTCTAACTCAAGTTATCTCCATTTTAAACAGATCACAGCTTTTGGTTACTTTCACCTTAAATTAGTTCCTAAGTTATTCCATTTGAATTGACATCCAATTCTAAGTCTTAATTACTGCTTGCTCTAAGTAAACAGATGTTCATTAAATCAAATGATGATAGCCCTAGGGTACATTTCAAGGAGAATGTGTTTGAGACGTGAAAGAATTTCACATGGAGAAGTGTAGCACAGGACAAAAATGAGCTAAATTCAAGATAGCTCATACATTCAAAAATTCAGGTGATCTCTTGGAACCTTTTGTTACATACTTTTTATTATAACCATGTGCTCATACACAATTTCCTCAAAGACTCCGTGCTTACCATTTTAAGGAGATGAGACACAGTCTTTAAGCTGAAGGGGGTGGGGGGAAAAAAAAAAAACAAAACATTTTGTCTGGAGGTTGGAGAGAGTGTCACAGTATATTTGTTATTATTTTCTGGTGAACCTGTTTAAACAGTCCAGTAAACATAGAGATGGCATAAACATTTTAAATACAAAGCATGTATTTTGGATTTATTTCAAAGAAATTCTTAAGTGGATGCAATTGCAATAAACTTGTGCTACAGTTCTTAGAGAAGTGTTAGAGAAATTGAGTAACTTTTAGTGTGTACTTGAATACAGCCTGATATTTAATCTTTCTTCTTTCCTACAGTGTTTGTTGCATTTGCTGTTCTCCTGACAGTCGTTGCCCTCACTCTGATTTTTATTGTGGCTCCAAGGAGAGGTCAGACAAACATACTGATCTATGTTTTAATTTGCTCATTTATTGGTGCCTTCTCTGTCTCATCTGTCAAAGGCCTGGGCATTGCCATTAAAGAAATGCTGGAAAGGAAGCCGGTTTATCGTCGTCCCCTGGTTTATGTTTTGTTGGGAATCCTCGTGCTCTCAGTCAGCACTCAGATCAACTATCTCAACAAAGCATTGGACGTGTTTAATACATCTCTAGTGACACCTATTTATTACGTGTGTTTCACCACGACGGTGGTGACATGCTCCATCATCCTGTTCAAAGAGTGGAGCAGTATGGACCTGGATAATATCATTGGGACCCTTAGTGGATTCTGCACTATAATCATAGGCATTTTTCTATTACATGCTTTCAAAAATACTGATATCACCTGGAGTCAGTTGATGTCCACCATTGCGAAAGAACCATCATCGCCACAGCACGAATACGAAACCTCTCATACTTTACTAGAGAGCTTGGAAGACCCAGCTGTGGTTTTTGAGGAGGACAATATTTTATTTACTCAATGAAATCTCAAGTGATAGTTCCTCCTTCCAGTATCACAGATTGCAGACTCAGCCCAGCTGTGTCTACCAGAACATTCATCTTCGCTGCAATCCTCTGGAAAAATGTCTGTAAGGGGCGTTAAATGTGGGGACACGGTTGTCTGTGTGTGCCAGCTGTTGGTAGTGATGAATGAAAATGTTCAATAATTAACCTGACAGACAGAAATGTGGTGGTTATTAGGTGTCAAGCAATGAATAAGTTTGTCCATTTTTTTTGTGGTATCTCCTGTTCGAGAATTTTAGCAAGAAAGAATGATCTTTGTAAACTGCGTTTACAAAATGCAACTTTCCGATCATGATTAAAGATAATACCCTAGCTAAAGTAACAAGCACTATGTTAGTAACAGCTTTTGACCACCTACCAATGAACCTTCAATAGACATCACAAAAAAGAAAAATGAAATGTGGTTCTTGGTAACCAGTCTCCCTCAGAGTCCATGTATAAAAAGCTAAGTGTTTTAGCTTTTCTACCTTAGGACTCCTGAATGGATTCCTAATCCTGACTGTGCATGTACTTTTTATTTCAAAACAATGACCAAGATGCATTTTAAGAAAAATCAAGCTCACGTGAGCCATTAAAGCAGTTGCTCTTAGCTTAAAAAATTACATAAGATGAAAGAATAAATTATTCAAAGGCAGCAAACCAGAATGGACAGTTAAGAATTTCCATACTGTTTTATACTACTTTGAGGATTAAGACGGAATTAACATATTTCCATTTTTTTCCTAATACATCTATTCATCTGAACCCAGTTAGGCTTTTAGAAAGATTTTCTCATTTTCTAGAAAGGTTTGGCTTCCAGAAAGGTTGGTTTGTTAAAGGTGGTGTTTAACAGTAAAAGAGTAATGTTAGTCTATGTTCAGTTATAAAGGCAAAATCTGTTTTCCAATCAGTGTGGTATTTCTAAAAACACTAGATAAAGGAAGATCTATAAAGAATGCATGAGAAACATCAAAACATTGAAGTTTTATTTTGTCTTTTTATTCTTCTCTAAAGATGAGTATTTATCTCTACTATGTGTTTTAGCTATTAATCTTCTGTAGACCTTGAAGATCAGTATCTGTACTGCTTTATTTTTCTCAGTTGTGGTCACTGATCTTTATCATCTCATTAAAAGCAGTTTGCACAGCCCACGTTTTACTCATTACAGTCCCCTTTTTTTGGCACTTTGTGAGCAAGAATGCAGCTTCAGCAAGCAGATGTGTGGAACGCAAGGAATTCAATGGAAATGTTGTATTTCCATGTGTTTGGTTTTTCAGAAGCCTTGCCAGAGGATGCTAGCAGTTGAGCAAGAAAGCTGGATTCATTAAAAATGAATTTTAATCAGCTGAGATTTATATGCCAAGCAGAACCTCTTCATAGAGCAGGCTGTATTTTCTTTAACATTCAAAGAGTGGAGTAAAAGTTGACACTGTGTGTGGATAATGGATTGTTCTGCAGAGAGAAAGCAACCATTTTGTTCTTACAGGTAAATAGTGGGCTGCTTGTATTTCACGTTTGTGTTGTGTAAAGTTCAATCTTGATGTTGAAGTCATGTACTTTTGAAAGATGTTCATGAAACATCTCACTTGTTAAAGACTGTTCCTTTATTTTAATGAGGATTTCAAAGCTATCGAAACCTGAAAAGCAGCACTAGGGATATTAGCTTGAAGTTGTTTCTAAACTGCAAGCACCTTTTTTTTCACTTGTATAGGTTTGTAGTTGGCATATGTACAGGAATAAGTAGAAATTGTATCAATCATCTGCACCTTATTTCCAAATCCTTGTTTATAAGAAGCAAAAACTGTGTATTTGCTTACTGGACCTATATGTTTACTTTCATGTAAAAATAACATCATAAGAAAAATGTTATTTTTTTTTACCATGTCAGAAAACTCAAGTTATTGCTTATTGTTGCAGTGTACAAGAGTTCTATAATGTTACAAAGTAAATTATTGATTATCTTTTGTAAAAAGACATTTGCTATAAGAGGTATTATTTTTGAAAATGATCATATTTAGTAAATAATTTCAGAGAAGTTTAATTTTTTGATGAAATGATACTAATAGTTTTCTTGTACTAAATTGCTCATCAATTATGTACTGAATGATCTGTATTTTGTAAATATGGGAAAAAATGAGCATGTTCATATTTCTGATCAGCAATTAAATGCTATCTGGTAGATCCAAAGCAAATAGTCTTGGTTTTAATAGCTGTTCCTATGCACTCATGTGGGTTCTGGATGAAGGAGGTCTGGCTGAAAACCTTACAGTTCATGTGAATCTGGCCTAGTTATGACCTTTTAGTAGTTTTGACTTTTTTTTTTTTCATAGGAAAGAAAATTTTGTATTCCAAAAGCCAGATGTGAAACTACTAGATACTCACCATTAGCTAAAAAGTCACCATCATTCTGATGGAGCCGGAGGGAAGAGTGTGGGGAGACCAAGAGGTTTTGGCTTCTCTTATAGAATGACCCATTTTGTCTAGATGTGTTATTTTTACCCTGGTATTTCTGCAGAAAGCACGAGCAAGGAGCATTTAATGCTGGGGATTAGATTAACAGCCAGGAAGCATGAATTTTGAGGGACAGAATTAGCAGGCAAGTGAAATGCTTTCCCTTCTAAGCTAGGGAAGAAAAAACAAAGCTGATGGCTACAGAGCTCTTTGTCATGCATATGTTCAGTGGAGAGTATTTCATTGAATTTTCAGTTCTTCCAGACAGCAAAATGAAGGATTTTATTTAAAGTACTTCAAAGTGTTTTGGAAGGAAGGTGGAATGATTAAGAACTAGAACAAAGAAAACCTCAGAGGCAATACATCAGTAACCTAATTATGGATTTTAAATCCTGATACAAAACAATCTTGGCAGCTACTCATTACTACCATACCTCAGGACAAATGGGCAATTAAATTAATTACATAGCTGTGCTGATTAGATGTAGGTAAATCAAGAAGACTTGCATAGGTTAAATAATCTGCAGGGAATTCAGAAGGAAACACTTACGTTGTTAGTTCCTATAGAAACCTGCCTTCCCAGCCACACTTCACACAGCCATGCCAAAGTGAGGTTTCTTCCCCCAAGAGTGCTCATTCACAACTGGAACCTATTTTCTCATTGTGGTTGCATCCTGGAGCTGTATTGTGAGTTCTTTTGTGAATTACATACTCGTGGCAAACACCATCCTCTTACTATTTAATTTCCTGCAAAACAAAACCAGCAAGACTGCTAGGTTTTTAAAGTGGCAATTTTTCATCTGGAGGAGGGGGCCAGGTAGAAGCCAGGCTGGCTGATGCATGAGAAGTGATAATATCTTTATATATATATGATATATCTTCATATATGTTACCTTTTTGTGAAAAATTGATTATTTAAAGTTGGACAGGGGGTTGGGAGGTACAAAATAAATAGCACTGGAGAAAAACTTGCCCAAACTTTTGCACACAAGCGATTGATTTGTATTGCTTGCCAGGAGCTCTTTTGAAGAAGGAAGTCATTTCATGTTCTGGAAATACATTCCAGTTTGTAAACAGGTCAGCTTTAGATAGAAAGATACACATCATAGGTGGCTGCTGCACAGAAGGTGGGCCTTTCTCCCTCTCCCTCCTGCATGTTACCAACTGGATGCATATCTGTTTTCTGATGTTTGATGAGGAAATATCAGCTGAATTTTCACCATTGGTGAGTACTCTTCCAGCCTTTAGCCAGAAATCCCCTATACAGGGGTGTCACTGTGCCTCCTTCCCCATTCAGGTTTTAAAAAGACCCTTTAGGTCATCACATCCAACCATCATCTAACACTACAAGACCACTGCTAAACCATGCCCCTAACCACCACGTCCACATGCCTCTTGAATACCTCCAGGGACTTTGCTTCTTCCCTGGGCAGCCCATTCCAATGCTTGGCCAGACTCTCTGTGAAGAAATACTTCCTGATATCAAGGCAAAACCTCCCTGGCACACCTTGAGGTTGTTTCCCTGAGTCCTATCACTTGTCATCAGATAAAAGAGCCCAACACCCTCCTCAATTCAAGCTCCTTTCAGGTAGTTGTAGAGAGCAACAAGGTCTCCCCTCAGCCTCCTTTTCTCTAGGCTGAACCACCCCAGCCTGCTCCTTGGATGTCTTATTTTCTGGGTCTCTCTTTCACAAAGATTTAAAAATAAAAACAACACACAGCCAGCAGATCAATATGCCTATGATTAGAGACATGGATGGCATTGACTGTTTTCCCATGTAAGGTCTTTCCTTTCTGCCTGTTTGAACATGGCTGGAGCTGGAGCTACACTCAGAGCCACCACAAGGCTCGAGGTGGCCTGCTTGGTCTTTATTTATGGGTGTAGCTGTTTGAGTGAGCAAACAAGCTGTACATACCTGACCTTCGTCCTGCTCATGCTGATTAAGCACTGACTTCACTGACTGAAGCATATTACAGTGCTTTTTAATTTATTTACCATAAGCTTCATGATATCAGCTGTTAAATTCATCCACGTCAGAGTGCTAACAACAGCCTACTGATAATTTGCCCAGCCTCCAGACAGGCTATAGTGTGAAGCTGAAGGCCTGGTAGGCAAGCATTTTTTTCCCATTGTATTAGACCACCATGTTTCAAAGATGGATGCATGCTCACCACAGGGCAACCCAGCAAAACAAGCACAAGCAGGGTGCTTTGTGTACATAAACTCTCTCTTTATTGCAGGGTACTGTAGTGTATTACATATTAACTTGCAGTAATAAATGTAGTTAAACCAGTTGTACAAGAGCTTCTATAGAGGATTCCTCATACATTATTCAAAGTCCCTATGCACATTTATATTGTAGATACAGTTTGAGTCTTTTGTAGAGCATCACTTGCTGAAAAGCATTGTGCTTCGGCAACACATAGACTAGGGGTGAGCTCAATGTACAGTATTATATTGTATAGGCTTTTGTGTAGTTAGAGGTCTGATACTGAGTTGAACGCCCATAAATAAGTAAATTATAAAAGTAAACAGTGCTATCAGTTGGTGGCAATTCTTCTAGCAATTAAACAAAAGGATATCGTGGCACTTGAATGAGAAACGCCTTAAGGTACTGTGTGAAGGTACTCCCAGATATTGACACAGTAGGGTTAAGAACTCCTTTTCCCAAGGGATGATAACTATCAAAATACTATTGCAGTAAAGGAAAATTATTAATGCCAGGAGTGAATTTGACCCAGAGATGCCATCATCTTCTCAAACTTCAACACTTGGGATGATCAATGTACTTCATTTTATTGTTACAGTTGCAGGGGATTTTTTTTGTTTGTTTGTTTTGCATGTGCGTGTTTAAGTTTGGGAATGAAAAAACTAAGTTGCCCAGACATCAATCATTCTTTATCTACTGGGTGTTAAGTATTTTGTCTATGAAATGCTATAAAAAGAAATATATTTACCCATAAATAATTCACAATACAATCATGTTAAAAAAATATTTATTTACAGCGATCTGACTGTTCTACATAAAACAATCTCCTACTTCAGTTGCCTTTTCTTTTCTGTAATACACTTGTATTGACCAAAATTAAGAGTTAAAATTAAAAGTGAATAATAACATTACAAGCAGGGTTACAGACATTGTGCATGCGAGGTCTCACAGAAATTGTTTGAGCTAGACTAATTCAAAGCACTTCTTTTTACAGCCAGGTTCCAGCTTTAACTTGTTTATTAACCATTCCAGATACTTACAGGGGAGCAGTAAGGAGGTGTGGGCATTCAAGTATGCAGCAGCAAGACAGGAATGGAAGACAAAAGTAAAATTCAGGGAGAGGTTTGAATAAAATAATCCTTACTTGTTCTCCTTGTTTTACATAGAATTAGCAGAGAAGGTGCCTTTACCTGTGAGCAGGATTAAAGTTCTTCAGGGATGCTCAGTGCTTCCAGCTATTCAGATGTCACTTGGGAGGCACTGAGGGGTGACTGCTCCCTCTGTGTGCCCAGCAGCATGCAGTACCTGGGTTCTGCTCCAGCAGTTGTGTTTCCTCTGAAACACTGCTCCTTTTCTTCTGTGCTTTGCAGTACAAAAGGTCTTGCCTTTAGATAAGACCTCTCTGACACTTTATCAAAGTCTCTTCCATCATTTTTGGTGCTGCTAATCAGTATTGTCTACTGCAAGAACCATATTAAGTAACAAATCATTCCTTAGTAATATTATTATGGGAATTAGTGTAGCTCTGACAAAAAGAACAAAACAAAACAACAACAAAAAAAAAGGCTTGCATGGCAAGTAAGCTTGGTTGCTTCTTTCCAGACAGGAGATTTTTTTCCCTAATCAAGAAAACAAAGGCTTGAAAGCCCCCAAACCAGACTCCTCAGATATCTTTCTCAAATGAGCAAAAGTCACACCAAGCACAAACAGCTGCTTCACTATATAGGATGCTGCTACCACAAGTTAAGTAGAGACAGCTGTAAGAAGCTGATGTTTTCTGTGTCAACTACATTGGCAGGCTTAATGCTGCTGATTTTCCAGTAAGTACACCTGTGTAACATCTCTGACTATCCCATTTCTGTTATATCTGTGAGGGTCTCTACTAATTCTTCAAAAGAAGGACGTCCTTCAGGTTTCTGGAAGAAAAGAAGAAAAAAAAAAAAAGAAAAAAAAAGCAGAGGATAAATCCAAATTAGCAGATTGATCAATTAAAGTACCCAACTTCAGAAGATGGTTATAGGTACATACAAGCTACTGATTAAAAAATAATTTGTATTTTATTAATACATAATGGAGAAAAGATCAAGTTTAGCACTTGAGAAAATAAATAGATAAATAAATAAACCATGTTCTGCATGTCAGCATGCCAGAAGTTAATAGAATGCTTCCTAAAACTGCAGCAGCATGTACAGAGACGCTTTTTTCTTTCTCTTTTTTTTTTTTTGTTTTGTTTTGTTTTTTTTTTGTGTGTGTGTGTTTATTTGTTTCCTTTTAGCCAGAAGCCATATGTGGATTTCTTCCCTGCAGTGGTTGTTCAACCCTGATATTCAGAGATATTTTCTGGGCTTTAGATAAAAAGGATGTTCACTGTTGTATCATTTAATACATTGCAGCTCAGTATGGAACAACAAACTCCTGGCTGACATCAGGAAAAGAGGGGACTTCTTCCTCACCTCATCCTCCCTCTGCTGGCAGGCATCCCAGTGGGTGCTTGCAGTGAGCAACCATGCTATGTGCAGTTCAGGTTTCAGTCTCTTAAACTTACTTAGCAGCTTTCATACAGCTTTAAAAGATGGGCAAGAGAGAAGAGGTAGGATAAAGGAGACAATGGTAGCAATGAGATCCCCCAACTTTAAAAATTATTAAAAAGTAATTTTTACTTAAAATTAAAGATTCATTTCCTGTAGACACTGCAGAAGGGACCTCAAGGGATTACTCAGGTGGAAAAGTTGATGAAGTCCATGTTTTGACACCAATATAGAAATAAATAGTTGCTGGAGAAATGGATAAAGAACATCGATGCAAGCACCATATCAGAGTGCACATGGTGAAAGGGAGGCTCTGGAGCAGTGGACAGACATACTGATGTACATCTGGAAAATGGGAAGGCAAATCCACATGTAGTGGGCATACTCATTTTGTATATGAATGTGTTAAGGTTATCATTCAGAGGAAAGCTAGAGAGGTATGCATGGCACAAAGATGTGAAAAAGGTATTACGTTTGGTGCAGTAGAGAAGTGAGACTACAGTCAAATATTCAAAACTAGGGATGGTGTAGACCTATCATATAGATTATGTGCTTTGTATTTATTGGATGCAACAGTCAAAAGAAACAGAGGCTTGTAAACTTAGGCATGACTTGTGAAAAGCATAGTGACAAATACAGAGGATGCCACAAAGTAAAGGTTTTATTGCCCAGTGTTTGAGAATTACTTTCAGATATACATTAGCAATGGAGAATAGAATAACGTAATATCAAAGGAAAACAAGAGCAACAAACCTCATGCCAGCAGCTGTACATGACTTTGTACACTGTATGCGATGCCAAATGTGGTCGATAAAGTCGGTTTCCCTCAGAAATCTCACGGACAACTTCACAATTTGATTTACTTTCAAAAGGCATTTTGCCTTCTGTGAAGACCTCCCACATCAGCACACCTGGATGTGAACCAAAATATTTAGGACAAAATAAGATCCACAAACCCACAAGCTATTTAACAATGTGAGAAGCCCCAAAAATCACTCTTTCTTTTCCATGTATTGATGGACAACTTGAGTTGAATGAACAGAGGAAAACAAAAAAGTTTCAACTGATGCAATTCTGCGCCCATTTAAGTCAGCTAAGATGGTGGTCCATGAAAATGAGATAAACAAGCATTTGGTTAATGCTTACTTACCAGGAACACGCATATCTGTCAAAATCCAATTTTTAGATTAAAAATCTATTAAAAATCATACTCTCTCAAAAATATAGGCAAGATTTAAAAATAAGATCATCTAAAGATTAAGATAGGCAGCATCAATAAAAAGTTGTACTTTCCTCAATCTTATCATTAGTTTTTGGGAAACAATATGTTGCACATTAATCTAATCCACTCACCAAATGACCAGACATCGGATTTGCTGCTGTACTTTTTGAAATGAAAGACTTCAGGAGATGACCACTTGACTGGAAACTTGGCACCTGAAGAGCTGATATATTCATCATCAATGACGTACCTAAAGAATATCAGCAAATGCCATGTATTTTAATGAGACTTAAAGCACAAGCAGCTCTGGCAGCATTTCAACAGGTGGTTTATAATTCCATAAAAATACAGTCTCAATTTATAAGCAAGGAAATTGTATCACTAATTTAATAAAAAATGCACACAGACACCCACACTATGCAGTTAAAAATATTTCTATTTAAATGGGTGATTTAATTGTGAGAAATATGTCAGAATAAAATATTCTAATACCATCTGTGAGACTCACAGGATAGTTGTACTTATTGTATGCTGGGAAAGGTCCCTACACCCCCGGTAAGAAAAAGAGCAACAATAAATAATTGTTGTCTCTTTTTAAAAGAGAACATTTATTGCACATGAAAACTACTGGCAAAAGGTTACACTTATTTACACAGCTGGAGCTACTGGACTCTGCTACCCAACTTCACAGATGAAATTTCTGGCATATTGTTACACAAAATTTTCATCACATACAAAGAAACAACAAGGTGCACTGAAGTATAATTTTGCCCAAGCTTACAGGAGCTGTGTTAAGACCTATCAGATCAGAAGAGTTTATGTGCCTAATACAGGCATTTAGGGGCAACATTTGAAAAGGCTGAGCCCTACATCTGTACAAACTTTGTGCACGTTTTTCCCATATTTACTTTCATGAGAAGATGACAGAGAGACACTACACAACACTTGTCACAGAAGGTATAATGCATAGGCACTTCTAAAGCACCTTTCAAAGGAGGCCACATTGAAAGAAATTGCCTCTTTGCCTCACTTTATTATTATTGGGGCAGGCACAGAACAATGAGAGGTTATTGGATAATGAACGCAAAAAATAAGAGTACAAAACCAGTCAGTTTTGTGAGCTTTGACTAATTAGAGGGTGCTCCCATCACCTCTCCATGGTCTCCCTGGGAAAGCGCCTGTCCTAAAGCCATGCCATTGGTCTTCTCTTTTTGTTAACAGGAACCCATTCAGGTCCATTACTTTCATATTGGACCTTGATAGCCCCTTGGTCTCTTGCTGAATTTTCCAGGGCATTTGGATGAGTCTAGACCTATAGGCCTATTTTTACCTTTATGGCAATCAATGAAACCAGCAGGCAATGCCATGGCACAGCACAGCCTTTTAAAAAACAAGTATGTAGTTATGAACTACTGTGGTAATCCTTAGGTAAGAAATAGGAGGTAAAAATTAACAGAAAGGTGGGTAACGTGGCTGTACTGATCTAATGACTACAGCTGTAAGGTGGACATCACCACCACCTACTGCACAGAGCTACACACTGCCTTTCAATCCAAAAGATGAGCCTATTCAATCCAAAAGCAGCCAGTAAGACAAAGAAACAAAGGATTTTGTGCTGGGCTTGCAAGGAGTGATGGGGCAAGATGGAAGGAGTGAGACCAATTGTCTGGCCAGCCACTGGTCATTCACTCAGTTCAGCTGTAAAATATAGTGCACCCTCTCATGGAAGTCCAGGAGGGCAGAGCTACATTTCTCTGACCTGTGGTTGTTGGAGTGCATTTTGCTCTCTCTTCATGTTTGGCTGGTCCTCTCATTAAACAGAAAAACCACTTCCCTGCTAGAGAACCACACATCACGTTTCCTGCCTGCGCATCCTCCCTGCCTCCTGCCTCACCTACTGAAGTCTCTAAAGGTCAGTACCAAGACCTACATCTCTTCCTGCAGGCTTTCTGTCCTTCTGGGCACTCAGAAAATTTGGGGTACTTGCTTCTTTGAGCCTCTGGTAGTCCTGTGCCTGCTGCTGCTCTGTCCATAAGCTACTCCTGGCATTTACTAGACACTCAGTTCACCTGTCTTAAAGTCACTGATGAGAAGAGAAACAATGCAACATCCCGTTTATGGTACAAGAGTTAAACAGCAGTGTTTATCACTTCAATCAAAATTCAGAAATTGAGCACAGTGGGATTCCCCAAATCATCTAAGGAAGCAGTGAAGTTAGCCCAAGTCCTCATTACCATCAACTGAGAACAGGGCACCCACTAAACTTGTACTTCCTACCTTGCCATGCCGAAGTCAGATACTTTAACGACGTGCTCAGCATTGACTAAACAGTTTCTTGCAGCCTGGGGAAAAGGAGAGAAACATATTTGAAATCTGGGCTAAAAAAATTTTAAGAAAAAAAAAAAAAACAAAACAAACAAACAAAAAAAAACAGACTAATTGTGTTTCAGCTCATATGGCTTATATTCTAAAAGGAGATGAGTGTCTTGCTCAAAACAAGGAAAAAGTAAAGTTCTGTCTCCAAGTAGGTGAATGCCTTTCACTGCTGTGTAATTACACGTACATAGCATATACTAGCCTGAATGCTTGCAATATTTTCATGTACAGTAAAAGAAATTTTAAGATGCAGAGTCTTAGTTATCCAAGCAGACATTTTCCTGAATGCTAGGCATTTGGACACTCACTACCAATTTTTAAAAGTGTTTTTGTGACCTCTTTGTTCCCTGTGTATGAGGTAGGGAAGACAAGCCACCCATATATCCTGGCATCAAGGTAAGGCAGAGGGAGCATTCGAAATGTGGATAGAGGAAGATTTTGTTGAATCTTACAGGACACATTAGTGTCCCACAGAATTCAGTGGCATGTTCTATATCACCAACATTTACCAAGAACCTCAGAAAACCTACTGTACTTACTAAATCACGGTGAATGAACCTATTTCTTTCCAGATACTCCATCCCTTCACACACATCCTGGCATATGCTCAACAGCAGGTCCCTGCTGAGTTTCCCCCGTCTCTGCCGCAGGTAGTTGAGCAGGCAGCCGTTCTCCATGAACTCAGTCACTACATAGAGAGGCTTGTGGCGCGTGCACACTCCGTAAAGCTGGACCAGCTTCGGGTGGGAGAGTTTCCTGTTCAGGATTGCATTTCAGTCAGGTGATCGTCTGCTCTTGGCAGATGACTAGACTTTTCATTCTCATGATGATACTGAAAAACACTTTCAGTACTTGCTAAATATCCTTCAGTTCAGCTGGCCTCAGAGTTGTCTCACTACCTAACACATTCTGCAATTTCCTCCAAAAAGTTCTGCAAGATCATCATAGTCCCTCCAATACTTAATGGACAAATGCAACCTTGATATGGATAATATGAAATGGAGAGATCTAACTATATTTGGTTTTCAGGCAGGGACACGAACTGCTGCAAGCGTTCTCCTCAGCTTCCACCTCCTTCTATGGCCACGCCAAAAGCAGGTCTGAATACTTCTGTAATTTGCAAAATCAGCAGAAATGGCAATACAGTTTCTTAGAAGCTTTAGTTAGGTATGAGCTCTGCCTGTGCTCCCAGAAGCACTAAACTATGGGTGAAAGAATAGCTGTAGGAGCAACTACCAGCACATTTACCACGCACTAACCTCCACCATGCAAAGCAGCACACACTCTAAAGAAAGACTCTGGTGATGGGTGTAGCAAGCACCTGCTTAGGTCATTACATCAACCTTTCTGTCCTGCACATCCATTACTCCCATCAAAGTGGTTTTGTTTGCTTGTTTTAAATTGTATTAGGATATATCTATTTTTCAGTCATCTTCACATCAACTATCAGACAGAATAATTTTTGTACTTACATCATCACTTTGGCCTCCTCAATGAAATCGTCCTCAGACATTGCACCTTCATTGATCGTTTTGATGGCAACTTTGATGGTTGCTTTCCATTTACCCAGCTGAACAACTCCAAACTGCCCGCGTCCAAGCTCCTTCATAAACGTCAGTTCTGATGGGTTTAATTCCCATTCCTCTATAAAAGCAACCCAATGTTACAATAGTCTAGGAGACACACCTGGCTAACCTGGCTATTTGCAGATAATGCAAACAGAGAAATTTCACAACCCTTCATCAGCTTTAGCATGGGTTTTAAATAACTGGAATTTCCCACACATATGTGTATAGACGTGAATGTTATTTTGCAGCTTGTAGAATGTGACTGCTTTGCAAACTGCATAATGCTGGAATGTCTGAGTCTTGAAGATAAGGCAAAGTTTTGATTACGTCTGAGAACTTTTTTAGCATTATCATATGTGATGTTTTTAACTCTAAACCAGTTCCGTGGGATAGTATAGCTACAGAAATAGTTACTGGATGCCTCCATTGTATTAACCAAAATAGTTCTGCCCTCCAGAAATATTAAGCCTTGATATTGATGAAAACATTCACAGTAAAGATATATATATAAAAGACATTCCTTTATATATATATACATATATATATGTTTATGTGTACTTATCTACCACCCAATATTAGCTTCCTGATCTATGTACACAGCACTGGTATTTACTGCTTGTTTTCTATCAATGTGAAAGGTTTCACTCTTATTTCTACATCCTGCAGAATCAACAAAGAAAATCTTCCTCATAAATAATATTAATTTCAGTTTTTGTAGACATTTAAATACATAAAATATAATTTAAAAATGTATTAAGTGTCTATTTAAGTCTGCTTACAAAAGTCCAGATAGCTCTGAAATGCACTAGTGGTTGTAAAAGAAGCACCACACTGACTGAACTGCAGGAATTGAGTCACGTCTCATTTAGTTCTGACACCTTATGAGGAAATGCGTGTCTGATTTTCATGATTATGAAGGTGTTTATGTATTAACTTACGACTGGGAAATTTCACTGACACAACTATTAGCTGGATGAATGTGATCTCAATTCTTGCCTAAACAGAAACCTAAATCTCCACCAAAAAAAAAGATAAAAAATTTACCGTAACTAAATCCCACTGTTGCTGGTGAAGAACCTCCAGTTGATCCAACTGGATGTCGGAGACGAGTGATAAGACCTGCAGGAAACAAAGTACCAATATTCTGTTGACCAATTGCACTATTTTAAAGTGTGCTACATCATACCTTTTCTCAAAAAAATATAAAAAATAAAAAAAAATAATTGATATAGATACCTTATTTCTTGATGTTAATTTTTCTTACAAATTCTCACTGAAGAAATGGAAGCGGACACTACCCTTTTCCAGCCTGCTTGATAAGTTACTGTTTCAGAATACAAATACTCTTTTCAAAATTCTAAGTAATTGCTTCTCTTTGTTTTTGTTTTTAAGTTTATTACTAGATCTATGACAATACCATTTTGGGGTACCAGCGTAATCAGACAACTTCTATCTTGAAGAAATGATATTCAAAATTATTATTTAATTAAGTAAATGATGTGTCTATTAATATGTTGCACTCCTGTGCAAATGCACTGTTACTCTACTTCAAACTTCAGACCACTACAAAAGTATCTACAGTATCATACAACCAGAAGTGACACTCTTTCTTGCTTGTACAGTGTTAGTGATCTTAAGTAATACTGCATGAGTTCTACAATACTACATCACCAACATAAACAGTGTCTTAAGTACGCTTTCTCAGTATTGTTTCCCGCTGCAAGAAATATTTTTGTGTCTGACATTCCTTTTTCTCTCAATTTATGAGCCAACAGTACCAATGAACACAACCCTTTCTACTTTCCTGATTTTTAATCTAAAAAGTGTGTCTTTGCTTTTTTAAAGCTAGCTCATTGTGCTCACCAAGGACACCCTGCATGCATTCATTCATTCTTTCCAATGTTACTTTCAGATCCTTTTCTGTTTCATGCATTTACTACCACCCCTTTCCCTCAGGTGAAAGTTTCTGTCCATTGCTGTCTCTTCCTGCCTCGCTAGCGTGAGGGGCTTTGTGCTTTCCTATCTCCAGTCATTCAGGGTAAAAAAATGTTTTATACCATATTAAAATGATAGGCAGAACCAAGATGAAGGGCAATTTTTAATGCTAGAAATTATAAAAGGCTGCTGTGAGCCAACAACTAAAGGTGGCTGACACTGGTAAGATGCAAGCTAGTGTTGGAGAGTCCTTGTGCTCCCTAATTCTGCCTTTTCTTTGAAGGGGGTGAGCATATGTGCCAAAATCAATAAAAAGCTGCCTACTGATGCATAGCATGGTTCCTGTTTTTCTTAAATTCTATACATGCAAGTCACTGGGTTGTAGGCAAGGAAAGAATTATGATAAAGTTTCATGGAAGTCTCATTCAGCCACATATGAACCAGCAGAATACAGAGTAGGTAAGTACATAAGGTACTTGTAGCTTTTTTAAATTAATTTCATTCATGTCTATGAGTTTGGTAGGCTCATTCCTCCCATGACATATGCACATTGCAGCTACAACTCCAGCAGAAAAGATCGTGGCATACTTGAATTTATTAGCAACAGAAAAATTTGTGTCTCTTTTTATAAGGAAAGGATTAGTGGAAGAGTCACTTCCAATCTTTCAAAGTCCTGATGAGCTTCAAAGCATCAGCAGTAATACCTTAACAGCTTATACCCATTACCTGCAGCATTGTGTCGATGATATTGGATAAGTTCAGGAACAGATGAGAAGAGATATTTTTCTGCTACATAATATTGTTCGAAGTGGTTTTTTTTAATTTGATAATGCCGAATGTCTCCACTGTGACTTCTGAAATCAACAAGCGATTATGATTTTCAGCAAAAAATAATTGATACTATAAACCTAATTAAATTTTACTTGAAAAGCATGCACACAAAAAATCTGAAAACTTGGGATACGGTTCCCTAATTAAAATGACTGCGCATAGTTGGGATACTGTTTCAGGGGAAAAAAAAGAAAAAAAGAAAAAAGAAAAAAAATAAAGCAAAAGAAGAAAAAGAAAAGAAAAAAAAAAAGGAAAAGGAAAAAGGGAAAAAAAAGAAAGAAGAAAAGAAAGAAGAAAAAAAAGAAGACAAAAAAAAGAAAAAAAAAAAAAAGAAAAAAAAAAAGGCTTTCTGAGTAGGTCTCTTTCCCAGCTTTGGGAGGTAGCATTGTCGCATTGTCCTGGTTTTGGCTGGGATAGAGCTAATTTTCTTCCTAGTAGCTGATGTGCTGCTGTGTTTGGATTTAGGATGAGAACAGCTGACCCAAAGGGACCAGAGGGATGTCCCATACCATATGGCTTCATGATGAACAATAAAACCGGGGGAGTTGGCCCAGGGAGAGGCTGCCAGCGCTCAGGGACAGGCTGGGCATTGGTCCATGGGTGGTGAGCAGCTGCATTGTGCATCTCTTGTTTTGTGTATTCTTTTATCAGTACTATCATTTCTATTATTATTTTCCCTTCATCTTCTTTCCCATTAAACTGTCTTGATAATCTCAGCTCACAATTCTTTTACCCTTCCATTTTGGTGGGTGGTAGAAGGGAGTGAATGGATGATTGTGTGGGGCTTATCTGCCTGTTGTGTTAAACCACAACATGTCTTGTGTGTTTTATTGCACAAGTATTTATCCCTGTATCATTGCATCTATAAGAAGCAGCTGTAGCACTAACAGATGTAGGAGGGCTGAGGGATAGCCGTAGGGGACTGCTACAGATGTGAGGGGAAAGCGAGCCCAGTAACAGTCCTCCAGCTGAAGAAAGATGGTACAGAGAGGAGATTTTAGGAGAAAAATTGGGACCACCAAGGAGCCTGGTAGTAATTTACACTGAGCAGAGCCTGCTGAGAAGAAAAGCAGATCGATACAGTGGCCAAAGGGCTGTGCTGTGGTGGCATGGTGGGGCAGCCACAGCACTTGACATAAAAATTAGCAAGATGTGAATGAATGTAAGGTCTTACTGCCTGTGTTACATGGGTGGGATGAGCAGCCTTCACAGCAGATTATTTGAGCATTTCTATGAGTGCATGTCGTAGCAGGGCATTGGCACCCTGCCCCCCAGACCTACTGCCCACCACCAGCACTTCAGCATACGAGGGCATTTCCCCAGAGCGCTGCAATTCGCTGCAGTGCCCCCTGAACAGCCCCCCCAGTATTTCACTGCTGCTGTGCACCATATACCCAGCCTGCCCACGTATCCCAAGGAGCTTTAGGGAAGCTTTTCCTTCAGACTTTGAGTCAAGCCATAACCATTCGGAGCAACTCACCCTTTAGACCGTGAATACACAGACAGTGTAAGGAGTCCCCGCTGGCTTGAATCTCTGACAACAAATGCACCTTCTTTGGACTGAAAAGAAATCCAGGTAGAGTTATTTTCTGCCTTTGAGCTCAAATGAAAGTCCTTTGAAATAGGACTTGCAGCTGATCAGCAAGTTCTGTGGAATACCTATGACTACCAGGGAGGGTGATAAAGCAGTAGTGAACAGGAATTGACAGCCAGGTACATAGCAGAGCAAAATTAACCGAGCCAAAATACCAAATGCCAGACCATTTCTTGGAGCTAAATATTTTAGGTGGATACTCTTCTGTGTGAAGTAGTGAAAAATCTTGTATTTATTAAATATATATATACAAATCACCAGAAAAAAAAAAAAAATCTGTAAAACAGTTCTGAGATGTTCTTCTCTATTTTGTCTTGCCCAAGCCCTGTGTTAGTCCTTGAGCTTAATGAATTTAACTGAGATAGATGTTTTCATAACTGATAGATGGATTCCTGGCTCTGTACATAAGGAAGACACTGGGGTTTTGTTAAGCTCTGCCACCTTACTAACTTACTTACCATGTGGATCTCAGTCATCGGTGTTTCATACCACAGACAAGTACAGCAAACTCCATGTAACTTGATTTATCCAATATGGAAAATCTACACAGAATTTGCTGGGACTACTAAAAATTCTGGGAAGTGTGGACAGTCTGCACTGTACAGTCTCCCCAGAAAGCCATCTCTTTGTTTTAGGTCACCTGCTCTTACTGCATGCTGAGCAGATTTGGATTTGACTGTTGAAATGCTTGATGCCGTTACTGATAAATCTTTGCAGATATCGTTAACTCTATGTATAAGCAGAGTTACCTTCTGTTGCAAGAGCAGTTCTGCCTGGCTTCTGTTGATGTTTTTGCAGTACCACCTGCAAGAACAAGACAATTTTTCCTTTAACTTCAGCCAGAAAAATATGTTTGCTCTGCTACACAGAAGGCAAGGTTTAGTCTTAATAGTTGAACGGTTTCCCATCAAAAAACCTGAACAGAACTATTGTTGTATATCAAACGTCTCTTAATTTGGAATTACTTCATTACACCACTGTAAATACAACAACTACTTCCCCCATTGACTGATTCACTGTGATTAAGCATGAGGTCACACAAAAGAAAAAAACAGGAAGCAGTTACGCCAGACTGTGATGAAATTTACAGTCAGGCTCACTGCTTCAGACCTCACTTCACTAGAGTTTTGCTGAATTTTACTCTTCTCTCCAGGAAACCAGACTGACTTGATTATAACTAACTTCCAGTCAATTAACTATACATGTTCACAACAGGAAGAGATCAGAATATAGACATATTATGTAGTGAGCCTACAGAAATATGAAACATCTGGATTCTGTCATTATGGTTTATGCTGTTGAAGTCCTTGGTGCCTGTAACTCCACATTACATACTCCAAGCAGATAAATCAAAATCAAAATGGTTAATTCCGTCTAAGAGCTTTCAATAAAGAAAACACCTGTTCATATCTAGTAAAGACTGAAGGGTCAAGCACTGAAATGTACCACACCATTTTTAGAAAAGAAAGCAGTCATCATTTTCAAGGGTACTTACTCATATGTTTCTAAATTACTTTTCTTGTTCTCAGTAACATAGTTGCTGGGAATTAGGCCTTCATTCCTGAAAAAAACATATTGAGGATAATGTTATAGTAAGATGTAAAATATTAATAGCATTAAGGTAAGCATCTTACTTTTATTGAATGACAAAATTTATTTATACTATTGGCTATGTCTTTAGATACAGAATCCTAGTGTGGGAATTGAATAAGAGTCTTAATTCCATTCATCCCAGGCAAAATCTTTCTGTCCCACAGCTTTGGAGGGCTACTGTAATGAGAAAGGCATCTGGGATAAGTACTTATAGAGTGCCATGAACAACATGTTAAGAAAAAATAGAAAAAAAATAGAAAAAAAATAGAAAAATTTAGAAAAAATAACATTTCTTCCAAACCAGAAGCCACTTGTTTTATTTCTAGCCTTCTAATTCTGCCTTGAAGAAATGTAAAGTGTGTGCTTGCATGTATATACAAAATAATAATCCAGTGGACTCTCACTACAAATCTGAGTTGAGAAAAGTTACCTAAAGGAGGCTTCTGAATGAAAAAGAGACAGATTTATATAACCTGTAACAACTCCTAACATCAGATTACAGGACACACTGAAGAAAATGTGAAAGGGGAACAACATAAAACAAACATAAATGTGGAAACATCAATAAATTAAGTTTACTATCTCTCTAACATGTCCAAGAATTTTGGATTAGGGGTTTTGTTTCAGGCAAGTGTCTTACCATTACCTGTGGTCTTTATGAGGTCTTTACACTTAACACACAACATTGTAAAGCACTTGAAACACATAAAGCCGTATTTTCACAAGGCTCAAGAGCCCAGTGGTTCATATGGTCCTCAAATGTCCTTATGTAGCTCAGGAACTTACTAAGTATAGGACTTAATTTTATGTTCCCACTAGACAGGAGATGCCATACCAATTCTTGGAGTACTAGACACTGCCCAAACTCTTCCCAATTAATCTGTGTCCCTTATATATATCTGGACACTTTCAAACCTCCCCTAAAGTTCATGTATCTTGTCCTATCTGCCTTCAGGGTTGTAGGATAACCCCACAATGGTTGTTTTAGGTTCTTCTTTCTGTGTAGGAAGAGAGAATGAAATTAGATGTCAATTCTCTTACCCATGCTGGTCTCTTGCCTTCCACCAGTGGGGATCATACTGTTCAAGGATAATGTATTCTTCTGACTTCTTGAGTGTTAAATCAGACGGTCCTCTAGCAAAAAAGTCATATAGTGCAATAACTTTGACATTTTTTGTGTAGTCTTCCAAGGCCTCAGCAGGTAGAGGAGGTAACGGCTTGTTCTTTACACGCAATTGCCTCTTACGCTAGTGGAAGAAAAGTATCTTTCACAGTTAGTCTTTTTTCCCTACTACTTCCCCTACTGCTATAGCATCTCAGTAACTGAAGGGAACTAATCATGATCATTACCTTCCATTGTAAAACACCATCATCATGTCACTTGTAAAATAGTGAGACTCACATCTGAGTAGTTTGCTATCAAAGCCAAAATTACAATGGAAAGTAAAGTAAATAATAGAGAAGCCATCTTCCTTGTCTCCCTCCCCACTCTTTGGGTGACTTTTACATGATATGAAAGCTGGGAGAACTCAGTGTAAATTAGCAGAGCAGCACTGCAAACAGTGGAGTTACTCTGTCTGGCAATTTGGCCATTTATCTGAAGAATTGATATGGAGAGTGCTGCAGACATTCTTGCATTCTTAGCAATTGAGCAGGAACAGTCTTTTTCTTATGCATCATGCTAGGTTTTAGCTTTACACTCAGTTATGCTTTGAAAACTCAGATTCATTCAGTTTAGATCTAGCAAAACAAAGGTGGACTTTTCACATGCAGCTGAGCAAGGTGAGATTGTATCTGCCCAACAGGACAGACCCATTCTTCCCACCTCCATCACACAAACCCTAAAGTTGGAGAAGAAATTGCCCATGTCCAAGCGAGCTTGGGAAACCTCGGTGTGACCCTGCATTTCCATCAGTATGAATCTTTATATACCTGAGCTTCATAATTTTTATGCAACAAAGCAACCTACACACTCAAGAGTTGGTTACTCCTCTGCTTGTTTTGGTACTGAGTCATTGGATGGCACGTCACCTCAATTTGTGTTAAACCTGACAAAATGTTACTTACCCTGCACTTCCAAGTAGATGCATAGGAAACCTTTGGTTGCGAGGCAGAGTACTGGGTCACCAGGCCAGTATCAGGGTCCAGGTTCATTTTTGTTCTCATTGCTCTAATTTTGAAGAACAATTAACAGTTCTACTGAAAATAGACTTTGAAAAGTCTACTATGTATAGACATTTCAATCATTCTAATTGCTGAAAAGCAGAAGAATTTTACATACCTTTTTTGCACTGTGCAGCAGCAGCAGCAGCAGAAAACAGACTGGATGGTGTGATCTGTGAACAAGAACATTTTCCATATTTATAGTGATCCTGTTGGCTTGTTTACAGAATTAAGGACTACTTAGCTCTATTATTAGTTTTGTCTTGCTGTGAGGTGTATGGCAAACCATTAAGACTAAATTTGCACGCAGCAAATGGAGCAGAGCTTTCTTCCCACACCAGCTATATGTATCCACTGCGTCCCTTATTATGTCTTTTAATTATGAGGACATATTATGTGTTAAACCCGCTCACCATATCAGAAAAAAAAAAAAAAAAAAAAGGGCATCATCAGCCAGATTGGTACTGATCTAACTGATTGCACTGCCCCATGCAAGCTCTAACCAGTGCAATGAAAGGGATGGGAACATCATTACTGACAAGAGGCAGAGAAATGTCCACTTTTAGCAATGACAGAATTTTTTGAACCATTTGAGCCAGATATAAAACCACATTTACATGTCAAGCTTTTTTTTTATTCTGAGTTTTACTAAAGGAGACACAATACATTCAGTTCTTTGAATTAATACTGATTTTCTTGATTCTGTTCCAGCCATTAATATAATTAGCCAAGGTTAAAAATGTTATCAAAATAGGCACTTTAAACTTATGTGCCAAGTAGTTGATAATCCAGAGATAAATACAGTAGACACAACACAATATCAGATATATCATATATTTTCAGAAAAGTTAATATAGTGTATCTTTTTTGAGATAAGGTTCCTGAGGTCTCGGTATGTTGTTGCTTTATTTTGTTAACAGTTGGACTTGATGATCTTGAAGGCCTTCTCCAGTTTATGATCATTCACATGACATGTACAATCCCACCATGTCTTCCACTTCTTGTCTTTCTCTCATAGTATTTTTGGCTTGTTAATCCTAATGACCTAATCTAGCTTGGAATAAATAGGATAGACCTTCTGGTGTCCTGTAAGAATTTTTGCCAATGCCTTTTACCAATGCTTCAGCAAAGTGTGCTGAGAGTGTTAACCCTACCACTCAAAGCATTACGTAACCTTACTGCATGATGAAATGTAATTATTTTCTCTGTAAAGGTACATTACTTAGTACATCTTGCACTAACAAAAGGAGAGAAAATCAGAAGTCAAAAAGATAAGGGGGAAATTAGTTCTCAATTGGAAGAAGAAGAGACCGATCTCATATGTGTTTTGGTTAGTGTATTTATCATGAAAGCCGTGGGGCAATTTCCCTTAGACTGCTGCATCCTGTGAAGAACCCGTCGTGTGGGAAGCAAGCAGACACATTAATCACAACATGCTATCGACTGTTTGATAAAAGTTTCCACTGACGGCTATGCAAAACAGACCAATTACAAATACCCAAGCCAGCTGACACCAACGATTTTCTTTAAAGAAACCAGGCAAAACATTTGAGCAATATAACTTATTTGCTGCATGGTTTTACAGTGTATTAAACTGTCCCTCAGCTGCTTAATACTATAGTAGCTTAATTTTGTCTGAATACAGTCTCTAGCATTGTTGTATAATACTTAATGTCTTAAGTAAGAACAAGCTTGGAATGAGCAATCCCTCTCAAAAAGTCAGATGGGAAATATTTGTTTTATTAACATTGCTTTAAAATAATGTCCACTGCTCCTGAAACAATAATCATATCATCATCATCATCATCATCATCATCATCATCATCATCATCATCATCTGGATTGAGATAGCGTCAGTGTGTTAAGGAGTGCCTGTAAAGCAGAACAAGTGCTTTGGAAGCACTTTGCATGATAGCGTAGTCTTGCATGTACTAGAGACTTTTGAGGGATCTATTACAATTTCATTCAAAAAAGGGGTGTTTAAATTTCAGTACAAATAATTACATGCTACTCACCAAACTTTCCCAATTATCTTGAGACAGAATTGTGTTTGTCCCTTGACCTGGACTGTCTTAGGTTCCCATTTCTTTTTATAATCAATTTTGTGTTTCAATGCTTCCTAGGACACATGCTTTATTTGGTGAGTTATTTTTTTATGGCTGGAGTGTCTAACCAATTAAAGATAACAAAATAGGACCAAGGCTAGAAGTTAAGGCTCAGGTTAGACTGAGGGTGTGGGCCCAACAAGCCCATTCTGCACTGAGTTTCTGGGTCCTGAGGGGCAGTATGGTTCTACTAAGATCCTGTCTCCCACCTCTCCCTACCAGGATATTTTAAGGATCAAATCAAGGCCTAAAGGAAGAAAATTTCCAGCTCTGGAAACACACCAGCCTTCATACATCCGTTCCCTGCAAACTCACTTCTGAAATTCTGAACGTACATTACTCCTTTAGCATTTGTAAAAAAAATTAGTAGAAATTAATGAAAGCATGAATTAATGCAGTGTAAGCTGCTGATTTCTATTTCGAAATTTTTGAGTTCTGAGAGGAAACATTGTCAGGGAGTGCTGAGAGACAGCAGCCTGGAGCTATATGGAACTGAACCACAGGTCTTCAGTGTAGGTCCTGCTTTAGTTAATCTGAAGTCAGACTGGAAATTTTGACCTGATGGATTGGAGTTTCAGCAGCTCAAGCGAAGATCGATGCATTGATTTCTGCATTGAACATCCTCCCTGGTCATTGGTAAGCTCCTTGCACAACACTTTCTCACCTCTAGATTGAAATAATATTAGTTCAGTTCATAACTCGTTACCAATGAGCCTATGATGTTATTTGGTTGTAGGTCTTCTTTTTTTTTTTTGTCTTTTTTTTTTTTTTTTTTTGATAGACTTGGCCAACAACACTGCAAGCGGTGAAAGCTTTGAGACACTGAATAATTTTATTAAACTGGCTTATATCTTGATCTTCTGCGAGCAACACAGGAAGATCTCTATGTGTAGAGCTGCCTCCAGGTGCCACAGCGATGCTCACGGCAGCGCTACAGGAAGTCTGCATTTCCTGCCAGAAGCTTCTCGGAGTTGCACACGCCCTCCTGTAACTGCGGCTCTTCCTTCCTTTATTTCTTTCTCTTCTTCTCTTCTATTCAAAAGCCGTAAGTCAAAATAATAAAAAATACTAAAACACCACCCACTCCTCCACTTTAAGGCAAAAAAAATTGCTAACTTTTTCCAATGCAAGTAAGAAATTGAAAGTAGATTTCTAGAAGTCAGAGTTTTCAATACTGCTTCTTGTTTTCCTTTCTGCTATGCTCTAACTCAAATCACAGGACTCAGTGGAATAATTCTGGTTTCCTTCAATTTCAAAACAAGGACCTTTTCTTAAGCAAAACATTCTGCATTTGTCAACTATTATGTTAGATTCTATATATTCAACTATATATGTTAGATTCACATACATAATAGCACGTCACACTGACATGTTCATCATTTAAAAATTAAGTGGTGATGGAATCAGTGAGAGCTGTACATCAGCAAGAAAAAAATCACATTTTGCATTTGCGTTTTGGACCCCATTTTTTGAAGAGAACAGCAAGACCAGTAAGGTCTATTATATGAGTGACAGACTTACTGCTTGGACAGGACACAGGAAAGAGATATTGGCTAACAGAAGAAAATATTCAATAATTTTTAACAGCAAATTTTTTGTAAGGCTGTTAAAATAAATCAGTTATGGACCCATCACTGTTATCAGGTCCTGCTTCTCTGTTTCCTACATAACCAAACCTTTTTCCAAAACTTCCAGAGAAATTGGTCAAATCTTGCTTCTTTTAAATCCACCGAAGGAAGATTTCTCCAGCACCCGCAGCCCCACTAGACCTTTCAGCCCACATTTCCTAAGTTATGTCAAAACATAAGCTACCAAAACACATTCTGCTTTGATCATCAGGAAGCATAACTCATCATGAATCAATTAAAGTGGGTAACTTAAAACCTACGTTTAAATCAAACAAGATGAAAATTTAGTCTGTTGAATCTCCTTCTTTAATGAACCTCCTTCTTTAATTGAGTGGAGAATTTTCTCTCTCCAATTTCTGATGGATGTTTGCAATCTCAAAGTTCAGCCATTCTACAAATAATTCAACATGGGAACAAAAACGTATCCCATTTCACTGCTTGTGTCTTTTTCTTTCCGGAAATGGCTATATTAGGAGGAAAACACTTGTTTTTAAGAGTGTCATATTATCTTTCTGATGACAGAATAACAAGTAATTATCCCAATGCTAATACAGAGCTATGATAACCTATAGGATGATGTCCAAAATTGGACTTTTATCATGCACAGTTTGAAAAGAGAAAAGATACTGTGGCAAGGAAAGCATGTGGAAGAAGTGGAAATCCTAGGAAAGTGGTTTTCAAGCTGGCCTTATAAACAACGAGCTTAAAATTTTGCAGCTGATATTTTTATAACCAACTAGGAGGCCTGAAAAAAAAAATCTGCCTGTGCACAATTGAGCAGATGGGATGCTAGAGGAAGAAGAAAAGGATTGGCCTGTTGTGAGGTGAAACAGCTGTTTGCTTGAATAGCTGAAATACAGTCCCAACAAAACTTAAAAGGCACAGTGAAAACATGGAAGTCCTTCGCGATAGCCTGTCAGCAGGTGTTCTATGTCCAAAACCGCCCTACAGAATGCTTTAGGTTGATAAAATTATCTGTGTGGCCAATTCATGTGCAATCTCCCTCCTATCTTCAGTTATGCCTCCCTTTAATTTGTAGTCTTGGGGAAACAGTATCAAAGGACTTGATGAAAGCAACAGGTTAGAGATGAGTTTTTATCATTTGCATTTTATAATTTTATTTCATAAGCTTCTTGGCTTAAGCTTGTTTTTCTGATTCAATGTGTCTCAAAGCACTAGTAATTTTGAAATTGCTGTAGTCCCTTTCTAGCATGTACATTTTTATAAAGCAAATCAGCTTCACCCATCAAAACGAAACCTTTAATATAACACACATTATGCCTCCTGATCAGGTATGTTTGCACCTTATCTAGTAGAAAGTAACAGTACAGTTTGCTGCTAAAAATACTTCGAAAGACAAGTTTTTAGTTTTTCAGTTGTGTAAGTTTAGGCTTTATATATTTTCCTGAGTTAATTCTGCACTGGAGCAAAGACAACTCTAGTCATACCAAACTTTTTATTCATGTCTATCCTGTTCATACTTTTAAGGACAGCAAGTGGGAGTATCTCTGTACCTGTCTGAAAAAGTAGATGTTTTGCTGAACCCATCATATACTAGATTCATATTCATGTAGTAATTTTGAAAGTAAGTCAAAACAAGGAGTCCAAATACAGATCACCTAAGCAGCAGAAGAGGAAGCTGTTTGGCATTTTTATGGCAATATTTAAATCACTCATTTGCTAAGTATACAGCTACTGCACAAAACAATACTTCCAAGATAAAAATATGTGGGCCAATTTACTTACAGGTAGAAAGAATCATATCTGGCTGTCTGCTTATATTCAAATGAAATGCAAACCTTTCTTCATCAGTTGCGCCAGTAAAACACCCCTGTCTGAGTGCCTACTGTCTGAGTGCCTAGCTCTGCTCTGAAGCCTAGTAAAACACAAATACATTTTGACCCCACCCACTTTCCTAAAGAAAAAAAAAAGTAGATACTAATCACACATCTGGTAAGTTAAAGAAAAAAAAAAAAAATCTGTCTGCCTGTCAGCTTTCTAGAATCAAATACATACTTTAAAGAAAAAATATTGCACTATAATCAGTAGGGTTAAGTACTGCTTTAAAATGGGGAAAAATGCAGCAGATGTATACAAGAATTTGGTTCATTTCAGATGAATTTTTGATCCTGGCATTTGAAAAAAAAAAAAAGTTTTACTGAGACAGAGAAGATATGAAGTTGTTTTAGTATAGCTGAGCTCATCCATAAGAAATAACGGCATGATATTTTTTCCAATGTCTTCAAAGACAGGTTAAGTAATCAAGACAGCTGCCTCCAAATCTGTTCTGATTCATCCCAAAATTAACCATCTGAGCCTAGATTCAACTGAAAAATTAAGTAATCTAGAAAAAAGGTGCCTCATTGTTCCTGATATCCCAAGGAAGCATCAAACCCAACAGGGGATATGCAGAAATTATTTTTGGGTAGCATGAAAAGGCAGGTGAAGGGCAGGATCCAAAGTGGCATCCAAAGCACCCACCCTCATTGAGGAAACTCCTGCCAAAAGTCAGTACATTCAGGATATGTTTTATCATATATATTAACGTATAATTATTGTTGAATAAAGAAACAGCCCTAAGGTTTACTAGAAACTATTAATCTCCAGGTTTTCCCATGCTTCATATATGTTTTCTGGGAAACATGGCTTATTCCTGTAAAACTCCTCATTACATACTGTTGGAAGTGTTGGCAATGCCATACTTTTCAGTGTCTCCAGCAAGAAACTGGGATTCAGAGGAGCAGCTAGAGAAGACAAGATAAGCTTTGCTTACCTTAGATCTTTCATGCTCTTTTTTTCTACTACAGGTAGAAAATGCAAATATTTTTCCCTTCAATGGTATGTGCTGTATGTATTAATTTCGTAGTGGTTTGGACTCAACTCTTTGACAGGTCTGTTTGTATAGCAGAGATAATCTTGTGAGACTTCATCATTAAAAAAAAAAAAAAGGAAATAACAATTTAAACCTTTTCTGACACCCTGAAACGGTTCTATGGAATACCACAGGAAAAGGAAAGGACTTCTGCAGACAAAAGACTTCCTCCTTATGAACATAAAGGCTTAGACAAAGCAGTGAGGGAAAGCTAAGACCCTACAACACTGACTACAGAAATGATAAAATGCAGCAATGATGGAATCTATTAAGGTTACTTACCTTTAATAACTTTGTTTGAAACAAACTTCACTATACTCCTCTTTGCATGGAAACTTTTTTTTTTTTTTTGTGGGGGGAGGGAGGCAGGACAGACTTTAACAAGGCTGCAGAGACTTCTCCCTTCCAACAGAAGGGAAAGGGCACATAGCTATTAAGGAGAGTTTAACCTTTTCTGCATGAAACGTTTGATCATAGCCAAACCAACCAAATATATGTTGATACTACAATCTATATATTTAATAGAGAGTGTGTACACAAAGATACATATATACATGGGCTATCATAATGGCATATTCACATGGACAATGTGATCACATGAACAATAAGTTTGGCTTACAATGCACTGTCCTGACGGTAAATTAATGGCAACACATTACACATTGTTCCAAACCATAGTTAACATTCATTTTATTTACACACACATGTAGTATGACATGATCTGTTAAAAACAGAAAGGTTACATCCCTGTACGTATATATGACAGACAAAGACAAGCCCTCCTTTAACACACCTGAGAGTGTATTTTCCCTCATTTACAAACCCATGTATTCAGTTGTATGTAAGACACAGTAGGACAAATTTGTTTGAAAATTTCAAGAGAAATACACACAGTTTATATAAATAAATGCATGAAATTTATATATTTACAATACATACAGCATATAAATTATTTTATAATTAATCCAAAACAAGGTATTATGGTACACTGACAGCCAGTTGTGCTGAATCTTGGACTGATTTTTCATGAATAATGTCAAGACTAACCTTGTAAGATCTCCAGTGGAACAAACAGCCTAGAAGGGCTTGGGGCATATCATGGCTCAGTCCTGAAGCAAATCCTCTTCAGAGTGTTACATTGAACTGAAACTGTTGTTAACAGCCTACCACGTGCAAATGAATGAGGCACATTTTGTGTTCTTGCTGCATCATAAACCACCCATCAACTGAGAAAAACAATGTTTCTGGAAAATCTCTAGAAACGTTTGAATGTCAGTAGATAGCCATTTATAGATACCTTCAATTTTTACGCATGCAAATCACTATTACTACTACTACTGCCTGTGTAAAGAGAAACTCAGAAACATGGACTGTAGATACATGAATCCAACCCAGTAAATGCAAATTAAGCTCCTGGGCTTTGGTCATATTCTCTTTCTTTCTCCATAAACAGCACATGTTTTTGGCTATGCAGTGAGGAGTTTTCGGAGGAAATACTGCCAGTATTGCTGAAGATAATGTGCTCATTTCCCAACATAATGTAAAACTATCTATTGAAGTGAATCAAATGTTATGGGTTCCCCACACTGTTTAGCAGCATCCAGCAGCCTACAGGGCCAAGCCTTTAAAAGGAAATGATGAAGCCACATCTCTTGAAAGTGATTTCTTCTCAATACTTCTGCTGATGTTGTCTTTTTTTCAGAAACCATCTTCATTTTCTGCAATGTCAACGATTATATGGAGCAAGTCTTCAAAAGTTGGGCGTCCCTCTGGTTTCTAAAAACAAAAGTATGCATAGCTGTGATCAGAAAGCAAAAAAGTTGTGCTGATTTCGGTAAATTCTTTGTCTCAACATCATTCTATTGCAATGAATTTGCTATTTCATTAAACATGATGTGAAATTTCCCTCTGTAAGTTCTGAATGCATCACAATTTCAGTGCCACCTTTTCTTCCATGTTTTCATATTTTGGAAAACAGTAATATGTATTGTTGGACTACACCCTTCATATAATTCATTATTTTGCATAATGCTACATTTTTTTATTTCTATCTCCCTATCCTCCCAAATAAATGATTCCAATCTTTCTTTAGGCAACTTGTTCATGCTCCTAAGCATTCTGAGTGTGATTCTCTGAAATCTCGTCCACGTTTTTTGGACTGAGAAATGAGAAATGAGACTGCGTCATAGACTTAAGCAACAGTATTCTTCATTTACTCTATTTGTCTTCCACACGGTTCCCTGTATGTCATAACATCCTCTTTGCTTCATTTGATTACATCAATACACTGAGGCAGTTTCTTTGCTCACCTTACTGACACAGTTAATTTAACATCTTTTCAGTGCCTGGATAACTTGTACCTTTCCTTCATTTATCAGCTTAAATAAATTTGTGCATTTCGAAGATTCAGTATTCACACACTTTTCAAATCATTATTAAGTTTATTAAGCAAGGACAAAGATACCTACAGTTAATCACATTTTATGACAAAGACGTTGCCATTATTTGTGTCCTGTTTGTGATTTGTGAAGATTCTCTCTTTCCAATACTGTGATTGCTTAGTTTTTGCTGTTAATAACCCCTTGTGAGATCAATATATTTTTAATCAATTCACTGATGGTCATATAAATTCTATAAACACATATTGATATTCACAGAGTGTTAACAAATAACTTACTGTGATTTCTTAGTCCATTTTAATGATCATTTCAAGCAGGTTACCAAGTAAAAACAAAATTTAATGGCCTACAATTTCCTAGTTCCTGTGACAAGCCTTTCTGGATTGTAGAAACATTTATTATTTTTTCAGCCCTCCAGGGCACTGTTGTTTTTAATGTATTTTTTTGTTTTATAAACCAACTGCTTTGTATGTTTTAGATATCCACCAGTCAGTTTCATGACAAATTACTTTTTGTTCCAGCACATTCTCCTTCAAGACAAATGTCAGACCATATGTCATCTTTACTACTGGAAAAGAGCAGTAATTAGCTCTTTCCATTGTTTCCCTGATTGCTCTCTCAAAATTAGAGGCAATTAATTAAACCCATCTAGTCTTTCATAGACTTTCTACATTAATACTATAAAATCTGCTTTATGTTGGTACTTAAAGTATTTAATTTAGTTTTCATATCAGTTGTATCAAAATTATATTTGACGACTCTTATATACCCCACTTTCCACTCCCTTCTTCTCGTCTAAGGCATGTATTAATCAATGAACTAAACTCATTCTCCCACTGACCTGAGTACAGGACAATTCTCTCTGCCTCACTCAGCTGGCTCTTTTGATATAGCAAATGCACAAGTTTTCCATCATCTGTCTACCAACATTCAGGTCTGGTCTACATCTCATCTCTTGTACCCTGTCTTTAATGCACCATCAGCAGTAGATCAAGGGGCACCTTCTTTTCCCTATATTCCTTCTTATGCCTCTCTTGTACCACCTGTACAGGAAAAAAACCTGCTCTTTTTTGTTCTACCAGCCAACAGCTATTATCTCCATATGAATATTTCTCAGGAAGGAAGGGCACATGAGTTAGTCTGCTGGGATCTCAGGCCTTGATGACCTGGTTACAGTCAGAATGCTGCAATACAGATTAATTGCTGTTGCTGGACTGGCCCCTTTTTTTTAGTTCAAAGGGGAAAACATCCCCCCACACCAAAAAATGCATACCTCCTGCCAGCACATCATCATGACTTCATACACCTGCTTACAGGCCAGTTTGGGCCGATATAAACGATGTCCTTGGCTAACCATAGTTACCACTTCATAGTTGGAACTTTTTTCAAAGGGCATTTTTCCTTCCGTAAACACTTCCCACATTAAAACACCTAAAGAATGAAAATAAACATTAAGAAAATAAGCAAATAAGTTCTTAAAATAAATGTTTATTTTAAGCTCTAGGCTTTCAGTCTTTCTGAAAAAAAATAGCTTAAGATCCATGTTCTATAAGCAGTGTTCACCTGTGTCATTAACGAAAAAACTTTATTCTAGTAGCATGGATTTTAATAAGTAACAGCAC